TTTGCTCTCGCTGTGATCAAAGCTCAAGAAGCAAGTAAAACAAGCAGCCACTCACCTCTACACCTGTTTATGCATATTTATATTATATAATCTGATCATCCAATCTCAGTTCACACACGATCAGGCTCCGTTTCTTTGTTTCACCGCCTTTGGCGTCGAGAGTTCGAGAGCTGGCTGAAGGGCGTGGCTCCGCTCTGAAATCCGATACGGTCGGGGACGTTCTGGCCATTTGGCTTTGCCAAGCATACATAGGACCTTGTATGCTTTGAGGGTTTGGACGACTAGTTCTTCTGACAATGATTAAGTGGGAGACCCACCTTTATAGTTTTGCTTAGATTGTTTGCAAGCATCCCCAGGGCACGTTGAGGTCAGTTGATTTGGGGTGTCATGCTCCTTGCAGTGTGATTTCGATGGCAACCTTTGCCAAACCTCTTGGTGATGTCTAGGTCAAGCCAGAGACAATCACGCGAAGTTGTGGCCCAAAGTTGCTACGCCAATGCGAACTGCTGGGCTGTTTTTTGTGATATCTGACTTCAACATCAGCCTATGGACAAACGTTCTACTGTATATTACTGTATATATTCACACATTATACATAGAGGTGTAGGTTGGAAATCAAAGCCCGCCCTTGGGAAATTCATTTCATCGTCTGAAATTCTCTGAGAGTCTGAGATCACAAGTCGACAGCCAAGGCAAGACTGGCAAGACTCGCATCCAGGGGCGTCCCCTTTCAATTTCATAAGGGTAAAGAATATTCAGAGCGCTTCACTGTGCTTCGCGATTCTAAACTCTCTGTAGATTCTTTGGTGAGCATTGCAGAGTTCTTGCACTGTAGCTGTAGCCCCTGAGTTTCACTAAGTGTGCTCCAGGCACAGAACTACAAACGGCCACCATCCAAGAAGGGGCCGCAGTCGTTTCTCAAGCCTCAAGCAGAGTCTTATGAAGGATCTAAACTCCAAAGGGCAATGTTCTTGCTTTTTGCTCGGCTGCTTGCCAGAGGGTGGATGGACGTTTCTCGTGCTGCCATTGGCACCATCCCTCCCGTATTGAATCTCAAAGGAGTCCACCGCACAATCGCAAATAAAAGATGGCTTCGCAAGCTTAGTTGAAACTTCCAGGAAGCAGATTTGGAGTCCGACAATTATGTTTTCTCTCATTTACTGTACGAATGACTTAGCGGAAGAAGGCAGTACAACAACAAGGCGATCAAGCAGCTACTGCAGCCTGATTACACATGATTTTTGGAAGGCTCAGCAATTTGTCACCTGGTTCGGCTCAAAGCTTTGCACTGCATTCCCATGAGACGGGAAGCCCAAAGCTCCAGGCAAGATTTAGCGCTTTTGCCGCTTTTGCAGCCAAATGTGACGGCTGGGGAGTGTGACATATTGCCAGGCCTGTCCATGTCGCGGACAACGCCCATTGTCATCCAGGTTGGCCACAGAAGATTCCCGGACTCAATTCTCCATGCTTGTGATCGTTTTGCATCAAGCCAGAGCATCTCCATTAGATGGAGTCAACTTGAACTCATCTTCAATTGTGCAAGCTGAAGTCTGAACTGCAGTTGTACAAAGGTTCACTGCAGGATATCACTTCATCAATGGAAGAAGAGACTCGCTTTGAGATTTGCACGTATGCATAATATAATTTTAGCTGGTTTAAGGCAAGTAAACACAAGGATAGCCTTCAATGTCATGTCGCGTGTTCAATGTAAGGCGCACAGAGATGCACAGAGTGTTTACACACAAAATAAATAGATAGATAGATAGATAGATAGAGTGTTTGCACACTGCTTGTGATTGGGACACAGCAAGGTTCGCTTGCACTTAGATTAGATGTGATGATTTTTGGGTCTGCCCGAGCCTTCGAGACGATTCGTGGCTTGTCCAGTTGAAGAAGCGCACAGCCCCTGGTGCAACGCCCCCAAGCGAAGATGTGGATGCTGGTGGGACCCGAGCTAGCTTCTTGTCACTACTAGTAAGGCCAGGAGCCCCTAGTAGCTTCTTGCTCCTAGTAGTAAGGCACTTGTTTCTAATGGCTTTTTGTTACTACTAGTAAGGCACTTGTTCCTAGTAGCGATGCACTTTGTTCCTACTAGCTTCTTGTTACTAATCGAAGAAAAGGGATTTGGTTGGACGATTTCTCTCCGACTTGCTTTCTCCAGGTGCTGACACTGGAGAAGCGCCCCCAGAGCCTCGCGAGGAGGTTGGACTCCCAAGACCCACTGAGCTTGGCGACAGCCACATTAGAGGATGTGCAACATGTTACACGAAGCAACAGTCATTTTGATACGAGCAGATTTTGCAGTCTTAAGGCTGGAAAACAAAAACATTGTTTCCCCTTTCGGCCAGCAGAGTTTTATACTGTTTGAGAGACATGCTTTGCTCTGCTTTGAAGGAACGAGCTCGCAGCTCCGAATCCTCTCGCACTGCATCTCCGCAGGCTTGGGGAAGAAACGCGTGCATGGAACCAGTAAGAAGATGTTCGGGGAAAAGAAGAGAGAGGTGTAGAGAGAGAGAGAGAGAGAGAGAGCGAGAACCGTGCGAACAACAAGAACACCAGCATGAGACTTAGGAATGAACGTAACCTCTAACCTTTTCTATGTTCCCATGTCACCCTCCGCAGGCAGGAGCTCGAGCCAAGGAGTGGCTCAGAGAGATACCTTGAAACAAAAAATTAAGTGCAAAGTTTGAGGGATTCAGTACCTTTGTGTAGCAGAATCTGTTCATAGGAGCCTTCGGGTCCAGTGGCAAGGACCCAAGTCCGTTGTAGTCTGTCATATTTTGGCATATTCGCTTTGCATTTTTGCTCTCGACCCCGACGGAGTTCAATGGAATCCTTTGCGTCTGAGGTTGGCAGCTTCGCGTCCGTGGAATCTCTCATGGACCTGCAAAGCTTAGGAGAACTCTTCCGAAAGCTCCACGAAGAGGCGGATGCTAGTTCACAAAGCTGTTTCCACTTTGTGTTATGAGTTTGGATATTTTTGGCAAACATGTGGTTGTGGCAGACGAATCTTTGCGACTCACACATCAAAGAAGCACGGTTGTCCTCCTTTGCTGTCCAGGTAGATGTGATGCCTGCCTGATTTTCTGAGACGTGTGCTACTTTTCTGAGTCATTTCAGTCCATGTTTCTTTTTTTCTTTTCCTCTTTCGCCAGGCCTTTGCACGTCGAGAGTCCATCAAGCTCTTTGATCAGGACAAGCGAAATCGCCAGGCGACCTCGGAAAAAGATCTCGGCGTTGCGAAAGAGTCTGTGAAGATTGCACCGGTGATGTGGTGAAAATTTCACTTTAAGACATGTTTGTGCCAACGGCATGAAAACCGCGCATTTTACCAGTGCGGGCATGATAGCATGCATGTTGGAACCAACATCATCACCGTCTACATGGTTTCATTTTCATTGTACAATGCAGCATTTTTTGACTATTTACATGGCACCACGGTACGTTCTTCTACCACATACTTCTCAGTTTTCTCTTATTTTTGCATTTTTTCAATGGGATTAGCAATAATTGTTTTTTTGGCACATACGCACAGGTGGGGTGGGGAGGTTAATAGCATACGTGTGTATGTAGCGAACATGGCATGTACATCTGCATGAGTGCGCACATGGCATGCACATCCGTATGCATCCGTTGTCGATTCTATTTTACGCGTCATTCGTACGATCCCCAGCCATTTCAAGACATGCGGCCACTCAGCTGAGTTTTCTACGCCAGAAAGATGCTAGGATCTTTTTCGTATTACTGTAATTTTTTTTGATTTGAAGAGTGCTTTGTGTTGCAGTTTTGTTTGGCGCTTTCTTTTTTGACATCGCTTTCTATTTTTAAGTGTGCCACTTGGGGTGCTTTTCTTTTGCTGTGTTTGTGAATCGAACCATGGCCAAAGAAAAGATATTGGATGCCCACACGGGCGGCATTCATAATGCCTGGAAGACTGGAAGATGGCTTAAAAAGACATACTGAGGACTCGTGAGGACTCGTGTTGGTGGTGCCTTTAACACGAAGATCACGACATATGTTCGAAGTTGGCAATGGCGGATCGAACATGCTAGCACGGAAGACCTGTGCTCTGCGACTGCGAAGGCTTTTGCGAAACTGTCGTGAAAAGGAGTGCCACCGTCCCCTTTTATGGTACATTTTCCCTGAGAAAACGACGAAGCAGCTCGTTCGTGGACTCAAATCTTACTACCGCTTTCATGACACAAGATCTCCCGAGTACTGTAAAAAATGTAAAACTGCCTGAAATTGAATCCTATTGTATATAATTGTGATGACTTCTAGGTACTGATCAGAAAGAAACATGCTAAACGCCGACAGTTTTCGAGGTTCCGACTATGTTTCACTCCAATACAAAATCACTCAACCAAACCCGCGGTATTCACGGTGCCGGGATGTTTGTGAATCTTTGTGAATTTGCGCAGTGCTCTTTCAAGCAGCCTTTCCTCACAACATGTCTGGGTAGAGCGCACAAATTGTCTCTGTGCGAGTTCTTTCGTCTAGCACCCCTCTGTGCAATGCACATCGAACCAACACGTATAGTGCCATAGCCCCGATGGATCTGAAAGTGTCTAAAAGTACGTGTCATAGACACTTCTAAAGTCTGGTAATGAATTCTAACAAGATGGGGCCAGTTGGATAGGCTGAGCAGAACTTCAAAGAGGCATATGGCCTCGTTGAGCACTTGGTCCGCCGCAGTTGAAACTGAAACGACTTTTGCCCATTGTGTGTGGTGGAGGCATTCATTCACAAGTACATACCACAAAGCAATTAGAACAAGATGGTTCTGTTCACCAAGGCGAGGAGCTTTCTAGAAGAATATGGCCCTGAGGGTGGCTTGTTGGGGGCCCGGTGACACTTTGGACTTCGGCAAAGACTGCCGAAGCCTCATGACGAATCGAGCGATGAACTTCGAGGCCTGATGACCAGAGTGATGCTGGCCAGCAACTCAAGATCTCAGAACTTTTTACACGCAAGCGAAGATGTGCTAGCTGCTTTGGAATCATGAACAACGACAAGGTCGTGAAAAATCATGAATGAGTCGACGCGTCGAGTTCACATTGTACACGAATCTGGTGAATACAAGAAATCCTTTGGCTCCACAGGGCAGGGCACTAGGGGCTCCTGGCCTTACTACTAGGAGCTAGAAGCTACTAGTAACAAGGGCATTCCTAGTAGTCCCGGTTCAACGCGTCCTACGAGTCCATGGACTCGGAGCTGAAAGGGTGGATGGAGCGCATCGAGGAGCTCCGTCGTATGTCTTGGGGACACTCCTCGGAGCAGCCCACGCAAATCACCGATGCTTGACCAGGAGTTTTAGTGCTTTTTTCAATGCCGATATATTTGCTGCGCTTTCCAAAGAGGCTCTATGACCTTTTTATGACCTCTCTAGACATGCACAAGTTGTATTTTGTGTTCCTTTTCCGTGAATCCAAATGCCACCTAAGAAAAATGCATACTACTCCAAATTGCCGAGGAGAAGTAGGCCTTAGGCTCCAAACGTCCTTTGGCAGCGATCGTGTTCACTCCAGCGCATCTCATCTGAGGGTGTGGCCGACACTAAGACAGCGACATTGAACCAGAAACAACTGATGCTCAACAACACTGAGAAACAACATGATTCTCTCACTGACACAGAAAAAGCATTTTCAGGAATGGCTCTATGTCGGGGGCAACTTGAGAAGCCCTGAAGCATGGTCGAAGTGGCTCCCTAGTTGCAGGACTCAAATTCTCAGAACTGAAGACTTCAGGCCAAATGGGTCCAAATGGTTTGTGCGTCTAAGAGGTATGTTGGGAAAGATCCTTTTGCTCAGGTTTGCTGAGCACCCATCCTTGACGCATGTCGTGAACTGCGCCGCGAAGGACGTGCGGTATGCTGTCAATGCCAACTGGATGCAGACATTACATAGTCATCATAGTCTTAGCTCGTACTCAGTGCTGTTGGCACCTATCGAACGATGGTTTCCGATTGCTAAGGACTCCATTTCGCTTCTGAAGCTTGAAGCTGTGGATGAGGAGGGCTTTGAACCTTGTATGCTTGGAAGATCTATCTTAGCCTTTCCACATTGAAGTAGCATCTAATCTAGGTTTGCGGTTGTCCTAACATTCCTGTTAGCTGACAGAGCTAAGGATTTGTTCTCTTTTTGGCCGCTGGTGAAGAGTCACGCCAGAGCCTTTCCAAGCAGACAATGCCATTGGGGCCGAAACATACACCCAGAAATGGTGGAAACAGCTGAAATGGCGGATGAGCAAAAGCCGACCCGCACGAAAGCCAAGGTCGCGGAAGCCAAAGCTGTGTCCTGCTGCAAATAGCGGATGAGGATGAATAAAACAGCAGTGTAGGATGCCGTTTGCGACGTCGTTCGACAGGGGTTCTTGCAGCTTTCAGGTCTTGTTTCACTGCCAAGCTGGCATCAACCGCAGTGCAGCCTTGGCAGTCGCCGCTTTGTGTGTCCACGAGCAGCGGCCCTTCCTTCGGGTGCTTCGTGATTCGTTGCTCGAGCTTCGTTTGTAGCTGAGAACACGCAGCCTTGATCTCGTCCAAGAGACTTGAGTAATGGAAGTGTTTTGTCGGCTGGAGCCCATGCTCTAGCAATCCTGAAAGGATGAAGGGGTTGACTGGCTTGGAAAAGCAGCGCCACTCAAAACACAGACACAGGTTGCAAAGCTAGTAGAAACAATAAGCTACTAGGAACAAGTGCATCGCTACTAGAACAAGTGCTTACTACTAGGAACAAGAAGCTATATAGTAGAAACAGGTTGCAAAGCTTGGTTCTTGCGTGGTTTCTCCAGGTTGCAAAGGCGGCCGGGGATGCTACAAAATCGAAGCTTCAAGCGCCAGCTAATCCATTGCATCCGCACGGAAGGACCCACAGCGGTTTACCAAATGCCACAACATCAAGCTGAAAGCAAGAAAACTCGCGTAGGACTTGGACTGAGCTCACCATTTTCTTTTGTTTCTCAAGCCTTGCAGTGGGATAACGTCCTCGTGCTGGATCTGACTTTGACGTTTCAAAGCTTCGGATCCCTGAGTGATGTTTGTCAGGACTACTTGATTCTGAAGCTGACCTCGACTGGTGGAGTGCCGAGGTTGAGCACTACCAGAAGCAAGCGCAGTGCTGAGTTCTTTCGCTGAAAGCATCAGAACTATTTGTGCTGAACCGAGCCTGGAGGTGCATCAAGTGTTCCAGCTCTTCGCTCAAGCAACGTGGAAGAAGATTAGTTCAACATGCTTTCTTACTTTTAAGTTCTATTTTTCTGTTATTCTTGTTTGGGGCAGAGCTAGTAGAAAGAGGGAGAGCAGCTAGTAGAAAGAACGCCAAATAGAGAAGCTACTGGTAGCCAGACCCCTTCGAAAAGAACCAGTTCCTAGATTTCAAGTGAAGGGTCTAATATCATTTCACTTTTCCCTTGTTGGAGGTGGGAGGCAGGGGCGAGACACCTCGGCTGGGTGTGTGAAACGAAGCAATTTTGCGTTGCGCAGGGAGGGTAAAATGTGAGCAGATGTAGGCAAACCTGTGTCTTGAATTCCCTTGCATTAGGCAAATTTGCTTCCAACTTGAGTTTCGTTTGTTGCATAGGCAGTAATGTTGGATCTTAATTAGCTAAACGGGTTCCCCCCCTCGTAGCAAACAATCAAGGGAGTATGAATAGAATCCCCGCACAAATTCCATTATATAATAGCATTTGTAGCAGTAGCAGCAGTAGCAGTAGCAATAGCAGTAGCAGTAGCAGCAGCAGCAGCAGGAGTAGTAGTAGTCGTAGTCGTCGTCGTGGTGGTAGTAGTAGTAGAAGAAGTAGAAGAGAAGTAGAAGTAGAAGTAGAAGTAGAAGTAGACGTAGACGTAGACGTAGACGTAGACGTAGACGTAGACGTAGTAGTAGTAGTAGTAGTAGTAGTAGTAGTAGTAGTAGTAGTAGGAGTAGCAGTAGCAGTAGCAGTAGCAGTAGCAGTAGCAGTAGCAGTAGCAGTAGCAGTAG